TGGCCGCGGCGGCCCGGCCCATGCCGGGTCCGGGAAGCCAGGAGCCCGAGACCCGGGTAACTGCTGCGGCGCCGCTCGGGCCTGTCTGGTGTTGGTGGTGGGGGTGGGGGAATCGCTTTTGGGGGTGCGCCGCGCGTGGCTCCACAGTTGAGCCTGAACTAAGGAGAGGGTGCAGTGTAGGAGGGAAGGTTCACCAAGATGACCTCCGAGGCCGCATGGATCGGCTTACACCGTGGGGTCGCAGCGAGCGGCGGGTGGGGAGTAGAGGGTGGGCGTGGAGTGACGGGTGCCACCTGAGAGAGAGGAGGACCAGTGAAGTCCTGCAGAGAGGCCAGCGCCACGAGGCCCACTGAGCCAGAAGCCGCAGGAGGAGAAACTGGCAAAGAACTTGCCCAGTGAAACGAAACTAAACTAACGTGGAGGCCGGCCTGCCTGGCACTTCCCAGTACTGACCTTCCACTTAGCTCCCGCAGCAACACGGCTGGCACTGGGACCCAAACTTAGGAACTTATGTAGAGATGGGAGAGAGGCTGAGGGCGAGTGGCCCTGGGCCCCGGGATTGGAGGCTGGGCCTGATCCCAGATCTGAGGCCCAGGTGTCACGCTGCCTTTGTTTACGGGCCTCCTGCTTTTAAAAAACTGCCTTTGTTTTTAAGTTATTTCATTCTAAGTTTATATAAAGTAATTTTTAGCAATGGCTGAGTTTAGCTCGCAGTTGGCAACATTCCTGAAGATCTAACCATTGGCTCTGGCAAACTGGGGGCCACCACTGCCCTGGTCGGCCCTTGCTTAGGCGGTTGCTTACATGGACTGGAATGAGTCCTAATGCTGTTTCTTTTTCTTGGAGAGGTTTTTGCCATAGGGCGCGGGTGCTCGCCAGACAGACAGAGAGAGACAGAGAGACAGAAAGCAAGAAATCACCCCCAGGGGGGAAGGCCACACTGCAATCCCTTCTCCTCCATTCTCCTCTCGGGATCTTGGGCACACATGCACACGCTCCCGGCGTGAATTTTAAGCCACCGGGTCCGGGACGCGAACCGCGGTCGACTATTTGGGAGTCCAGCAACATAGCCACTACACTAACTGCTGGTCCCCTTATGCTCTTTTTAAAAAATGGTTTTGTTCTGCAGTACTTCTCATGGCAAGGTGCAAAAGTTTCTACTTGAATAAGCGTTTTACTCAGTCAATCCTGTGAGCTGTGTACTTGGCGGTGGGGGGAGGAAGGGGGTCAAGAGGGACGAGGCTGGGGGAAGTCCTTGAGGAGTGCCCACCTGGGGCTCCCAGGATCCACCCTGGACAGGGCAAGGGGCGCACTCTTGGTCTCATGCACCGCTGAGGTGAGCCTAGGGCTTCCTTTACTTCCCCAATTCCTCCTCTCCCAGAGCACCACACCTACAGGGATCCCGGCCCACCAGGCACAGAGATCTGGTTCCTTTTCCTGGTCTCCGCCCCTCCTGACAGCCACAGCCCACAGTCCTTTGTGAGAACTGCCAATCAAGCAAGGAGGGTGGGACCCGGTGAGCTCAGCTCTCCGAAGCCCCACCCTGAAATTCTGAAGTTCTAAATTTGCAGCTGTCCAGTTCAAGGGTCACCTGCAAGTGGAAGGAATCGGAGGGCTTTATGCAAGCGCTTTTAGGAAAACCGGCTGCATGCAATGCATTATGCTGGCCCCTCTACTTTCATTATTTCATCTTCCCTGTAAGAGTGGAGGTGGGGAGCTCATGAGAAAGAGAAGCCACCCAGAAACCCTAACAAAATCACACAGCCAGTTGAGCTGTGAAATGGTGTTTGCACTGACTGGAGGGAAAGGGCTCTGACTCCCAGACCAGAGTTCTTTCGACTAGAAATTGACCCTGGGCGTAGAGCCTTGGGGACGTGTGTGTGTGTGTGTGTGTGTGTGTGTCAGGGGCAGGGGCTGCTGTGGTTCACAACGGGGCTCTTCAAGGAGCCTGCAGGGACCAGCGTTTCCTAGCTGTGGTGTAACCCTTAGGCACTGGGATGCCCTTTAGCCAAAGCCGGTGGGCAGCCTCCCTATCCTGAAGGTCAAGATGAGGCTTCCTGCGCCCCTAAAAAGGACAAATCTTTTGGGCTTCCATCTCCTCCAGGAAGTCTCGCCCCTAGTTCTCCCAGCCCCTGAGATAGGGACCCCTCTGTACTCACAGTGAACTCCAGACTTGGCCTCAGTTGCATTCTTTTCACTCTGTGTTTATGGCCTGGCAAAGTCAAGAATACCTTAGTGAGAGCCAGCAGGTGGCTCCCAGTGGGTAGCATAGTGGTCAAGTCACTGGACTCCCACGTGGTCTGCCGTGGTTTGAGTCCTGGACCCAGCAGCTTGAAACTCATGCTGGGTGCGTGTGTGTGCGTGTCCAAAATCCTAAGAGGAGAATGGAAGAGAAGGGACTGTTGTGTGGCCATTCCCCTGGGGGCTTGATTTCTCACTATATGTCTCTCAGTCTTTCTCTGTCTGACTAGCACATGTGCCCTATAGCAAAAATCTACTAAAGAAAGAAGAGCCTTAGCACAGGGCCTGACCACAGGGGCCAAAGGCAGCTTTGATAAGGCTGGGGGTGGTGCACTGTGTCACTCTGTGGAGTCACTAGGCCCTGGTGACCCAGGCACCTGGGACTGGGGCGTTGAATTCTGGCTGCAAATCCTGAAGCTGCCGCTGCCCGAGGGCCCTGCCCTTGGTCTTATTCCTCTAACTGCCCATCCATAAACAGGCACCCTACTGCCCACCACGCGAGGCCGAGGAGCCCAGCATGCAGCCTGGCCCGCGGGGCACATGCCAGACACTGCTCTACCTGCCCCTTCCTTCTGGAGGTAAAGGTTGCTCTCTGCACAGGGGTGAGTGGGGGCTGGCCTGCAGCCCCTCCGCACACCTGTGCTTTTTCTCACCAGCGTCAGTGAATCTCATACCCCAAGCAGCACGACCAGAAAAGGAAAGGTATCCTGAGGGCTTGAGCAAAGGAGACTGTTTCTTTTTTTTGTTTGTTTTTTTTGTTTTTGTTTTTGTTTTGTTTTGTTTTTGTTTTTAAGGGAGACTTTTTTAAAAAGAATTATTTTATTTAACTTATATGCTTTTTAATTTTAATTTGACCAGAGAGCGTGAGAAAGTGAGCCACCAGGTTCAGGACTTGAAATATATGCATGCATGTGGGAATCTAGCGCCTTTAACCACCACGCCATCTGCTGGCCCCAAGGCTGGGTGGTTTTATAAACAGAGGGGCTGAAGAAAGGTGAAAGAAAGGGCTTGCTGCAGGCTGGTCATTTCAAAGTTACTTTCTAAGGGGACCGAGACAATAGGAAAGTAACTGAGTGGTCAACTCCAGGTTACTTCTTTTGTGTAAGGATTAAAACAGGAGAAACTTCATTACCATGCTGACAGAAAGTGGCCTGTTTGGGAAACTAGGCTGTTCTACCTTCTCCTGATTTCTCTGGAGGACAGACAACAATTAGTTTTGGCTTGGGAACATCAGTGACTCGATTTTTGATTAGTGTGGCATGTTGGTACCCAGTGAAGAAGCTTAGTCTAAAACATTGGCTTCTGCCATTTTTTATTATTATTATTTTTTAATTTCCTAGAGGGCATATGTGCTCCCTAGAGAGAGACAGAGAGATAGAGAAGGAAGGTGAGACAGCATCCCCCATAGAGGATGGTCATGCAAAAATCCCTTCCCCATTTCTCCTTCCCTTTGGGATTTTGTACACACACACACACACACACACACACATGTACATGTGCCCTGTGTATTTCTCACAATGCCAGTCCAGAGCCATGCAGTCAGCCATGTGGGGTCCAGCTGCCTTAACTGCCCTGCCAGCAACTAGCTCTGGCCTGTCATTTAAATGTAACACCTACCTAAAGGCAGTTTAGGGACCGGCAGCTGCCCTGCCTTGGAGAGTCTCCACCCTGGGAGGCTGTGGGCTGCTGATAAGCCACAGCGGCCAGGAGCTGGGGCACTCCCAGCTGCTGGCATGCAGGGAAAGGGGGAGAGGGGAGGAGTTGTTGGAGCCTGTCGCTGCTGCTGTAAGGGCCACAGGGCAAGCTCCGGCTGCCTCCCAGACAGCACAGGGCTCTGCTGAGAAGTCCACATTCTGCTGCGACACTGCCTGTGTAGACCCTAGTGCCACCAGGTCAAGTTAGTGTGCTGCAGCCTCAGTGAACCCATCCGTGCAATGGTGACAATTATACCAAGCATCCTAGATTACGTGTTCAACAGGGAATTGAGAGTTTGCTGTGTCGGGTATTGTCCTAAGATTTTATGAGGATGAAATGGCACATACCGGGGTTGTGGATGCAGTAAATTCCAGCTACTCTTTCTAGTAGGTGGCTTATGTAAATGTTTGGTGAATGAGTGAATTCTGCCAGGTGGTTGGTTGGAGAAAAATGAGCTACCTCTTGAGGGGCGGGGAGGAGGGGCTGAGACTTTACCCCTGCTTACAGGTGCCAGCAGGGCCTTCCCCTGCTTCTGCCCTCTACCCACCCAGCTCTGCTCAACAGTGAGGGGCTGGTGGGGCCCTCTCCAGGGCTCATGGTCATTCAGACCCTCCTGCCTGCAGGTACATCCAAGGCCTCAGGGGGAGGCCCCGGGTGACCTAAGTCTGCACCTGATTCACCATGGCTGGTTTCTGCATTTCCTGGACTCTGCCCTGTCCCGACTCCACCTCCGGCGCAAGCCCTCGCCCCTGCCCCTGCCTCAGTCCTGGTCGAGCCCTGCAGCGCGGGAGTTTCCTGCCCTAGGGACAAACTCTCTCCTGATAACCTCCCTGTCGCGCAGGCCTGCAGCCTGAGTATCGCTGCCGCCATGGCCCCGCAGCAGCTCTTCCGCGCGCTCGTGTCGGCGCAGTGGGTGGCCGAGACACTGCAAGCCCCGCGTGCCGGGCAGCCCCTGCAGCTGCTGGACGCTTCCTGGTACCTGCCCAAGCTGGGCCGCGACGCGCGCCGCGAGTTCGAGGAGCGCCACATCCCGGGCGCCGCCTTCTTTGACATCGACCAGTGCAGCGACCGCACGTCGCCCTACGACCACATGCTCCCCAGCGCCGCGCACTTCGCCGAGTACGCCGGACACCTAGGCGTGGGCGCGGCCACGCACGTCGTGGTCTACGATGCCAGCGACCAGGGCCTCTACGCCGCGCCGCGAGTCTGGTGGATGTTCCGCGCCTTCGGCCACCGCGCGGTGTCGCTGCTCGACGGCGGCCGCCCCCAACTGGGGGCGCACGGCCC